TTTGTTGTAATTTATTTATAACGATTCTTTTTTTGTAAAGACAAGTAATGCTAAGGTGCGTGTGCACTTGGCTTTTTTTTTTTTTTTAATAATTTTGTTTTTATATCACATTTTTTTACAAAATAATATTAATCTGAAAACGAGTTTCTTTGTTAATAACTTTATACGGTGAACTTGGACATTTTAAATATTAAGGTGTACATAAAAAGCAGGTCCTTTAAATTTTATTTTAGAATAATTCATTTTTATAAAAAATGTATCTCTATCTCTCTGTCTTTTTCTCTCCCCCTCCCTCTTTCTTTTATTATTATTATTGTTTATTTGTATTTATTTGTATTTATTTGTATTTATTTATTTATTTATTGTTTTATTCTTTATTTTTTGTATTTACGTTATCATATTTAATTTTATTATATTTTATTATTTATTTCTTATTATTTCTTATTTATTTATTATTTTATTATTTATATTCCGACATTATATTCGACTGTATATTCTATACAGCCTATTTAATTTAATAAATTACTAGTCGGTAAATCGTAATCGTAATACATATATATCTCCTTTTTCTTTTTACTTTTTTATTGTCACCGTATTTATTTTTCTTACTGTTTTTCTTCTAATAGTTCAATATTTACTGTATTTAGCTCTCTTTCTCTGATTCTCCTTCTTCCGCCTCTCTCTCGCTTTCTCTCCTTTTCCCGTCCCCTCTCTCTCTCTCACACACAGTCTCTTCCTTTCTCTCTTTACAACACTGTCTCTTCCTTTCTGTTTAATAATGAAATGTAACAGTAACAACGTACTTTTTTGGTGAATAACGAGTAATAATAATAAATTACTTTTAAAAAGTAACTTTTCCTATTTTATTATCTTGCACTCTATTTTTATCTTCTTACTTCGTTTCTATTTTCTGTTACATATCTATCTTCTCTCCTTATATTTTCTTCTTTTTCCCGCTTTCTGTATTTCCTTTCTTTCTTCCCTACTTCTTATCTTGTTTAAAAATAATAAAACTACAATACAATACAACTACAAACAACATAAAGTGTATCCTAGTTCTACATCTTTATAAATTATCCTATATTATGTAAAGCAATATTTATTTATTATCGCGGCAAACAGAAAAAATTTATTTATTTCTTTATTATCTATACTTTTATTTATTCATTGTCTTACACACTCATATATTCCTCTTGTCTTTCCATCTTGCTCTCTTATAGTTTTATTTATTTTCATTTTTTCTGTCTTATCATTTCTTCTCGCATATTCTCTCTTTTCTCTGTTTCTTTTCTTCTCCTTTTTTTCTTTCTCTTTTATCTCCTTATTATTTATTTTAGCTATAAAAAGTAAAAACGACACAAAGTATTCAAGTAACGATAACAACATACTTTTCTGATTAATAAAGAGTAATAATAATAAATTACTTTTAAAAAATAACCGTTCTTATTTTACTATCTTATATCTCTCTATTTTCTATCTTCTTGCTTCGTTTCTATTTTCTGTTCCTGATCTGTCTGTGTACTATCTTCTCTCCTTATATTTTTTTCTTTTTCTTTCCGCTTTCTGTCCTTGCTTTCTTATTTCCTTTCTTCTTACCTTGTTTAAAAATAATAAAAATACAAACAACATAAAAAGTATCCTAGTTCTATATCCTTATAAGTTATCCTATATTATATGAAGTAATATCCTAACAGCACGAATGTCCAGAGAACGTCCATAAAACGTCCTCAGGACATCTCTGAGACGTCCCCAGGAGATCTTGTGCTGTATGAGTACTTATTTATTATCGCGGCAAATAAAAAAATTTATTTATTCATTATCTATCCTTTTATTTATTCATTCTCTTATTCACTCATATATTCCTCTTGTCTTTCCATCTCGCTTTCTTATGTTTTTTTTTACCATCTTATCATTTATCTTCATTTTTGCTGTCTCCTCTTCGTTTCTTCTCGCACATTCTCTCTTTTCTCTTTTTCTTTTCCTTTTCTTTTCCTTCCTCTTTTATTTCCTTATTATTTAATTTAGCTATAAAAAATAAAAACAACACAAAGTATTCAAGTTTTACATCGTTATATATTTTTATGCATTCGCCAATATTTATCTGATATTATCTGATATTATCCTTGTTAACTCTATAGCTTTTCTACAAAATTATCATGGTAAACATACTTCGCAACTTTTAAAACTATTATTCATTAAGGCCCATATTTTCGATCCTTTTTTATCTATAAAAGAGGCTTAGGAGCCACCTGATTGGCTGAGAAGCTATATTCAAGGCACTTTTATCGATAAAAGAGAGTTCAGAATATGGGCGTATAAGTATAACCTCGTTATAACCCCATTCTCATACACGCGAACTGTCACTCGACTTCGCCGCGATGACAGTTACAAGTCGGTAAATCGGTAATCGTAACACTTAGAGACCCTCAAACAGAGACTGCCCATTGGGAGGTCTCCACGTGATTGACACACAGAATGATGGGTCGAAAAATGGCGGACCAATACGGAGCTGTGCTCACCAAGCACGAACGGGCATAAAATATGAATTGAGATATTGTCGCACTCTGCGAATGTATAGTTTATCGCTCAAATAATAATGATAAATAAAGATATATACATGTATATCCTTTAAAATATATAATGTAAATTCTTGAAAATATTACATATAGTCAATAATAAATCACACGTTATATAATCTCGAAAGAAATAAAAAACAACTAGTCCTGAGATATTATTATTCAGGTAATATACTAAATAATTAGTTAAAAAAAAATATATATATATTTACTAGGTAATTTTAATAAATAGAGATTACTTGTATTGTTGTTATAAGTTTTATTTAAAGATACATAAATGTGTGCAAGTGTAATTGCAAGTGCAAGTTGTTAATTGTTCATTTTACGTTATGTGATATTAAATTGATAAAATATAATGTTATTTACATGTTATACAATTGATATTGCAGGCGCCCGATTCTTGACGGTGTGCAAATGAGATACGCATGCAAAAATCTACCAGATTGATTGATAAGTCCTTAGAATGAAAATGAAAATACATTTTGTTAGCAGAACTCAACTTTATTCTTCAATATAATCTCCTTTTAGCTCAATACACCGAGTCCAACGAGTTTCTAGCTTCTTTAAGCCTTCTAAATAATAAGAATTTTCTAAACCGCCAAAATATGCGTCTGTTTCCCATTCAACCTTTTTATTTGAAGCAAATCTTTTTCCCTGGAGCCATCTTTTAAGATTTGGAAACAGATAGAAGTCACACAGGGCCAGATCTGGAGAATACGGTGGATGTGGGAGCAATTTTGCTATTGCTCTTACTGATTTGTGAGTTGGTGCATTGTCTTGATGAAAGAGAATTTTTTTCTTCATTAAATGAGGCCATTTTTTCTTGATTTCATCATTCAATCGGTCCAACAATGATGCATAATATTCTCCTGTGATTGTTCTTCCTTTTGCAAGATAATCGATGAGGATTATTCCATATGTATCCCAAGTGGCCAAAACCTTTCCAGCCGATTGTTGCGTCTTTCGTCGCTTCGGAGCACTTCCATCTTTTGGAACTCCTTGTGCCGATTGTTGTTTCGAATCAGGTATATAATGGTGGATCCATGTTTCATCAACGGTTATGTATCGACGCAAAAATTCCTTCGATTTGCGCCTAAATATGTCCAATGCTGAGAAGTGCGAACTCGTTTACGTTTTTGATCGATTGTTAGCAATCGCGGCATCCATCTTGCAGTTAGCTTTCTCATACCCAAATATTCGTGTAGGATATTGAATACACGTTCAGATGAAATGCCCAGTTCACGCATTTTCACTTTGGGGTCATCCAACACGACATCATAGATTTTTCCACTCATTTCTAGTGTAATCACCTCATTTGGACGACCACTGCGTCGTATATCCGATGTGCTGGTACGACCACGTTTAAACGCAACAATCCAGTTATATACGGTTGCATTTGACGGAGCAGATTCCCCCAAAGTTTTTTGGAAGTTTTCAGTCATTTCTTGCGGTTGCAAGTTTTTTAAATAGAAATATTTAGTCACTGCATGAATTTCAGTTTTTTCCATTTTTACAAAATATCAGAGGTTATGTGCTTTCGATGGTTGTCAAAAATATACTGTTTGTCATAGCTGCAACTGTGTAGTGAGAGGTTTGAAGGTTGGCACTACTGGAAATTCACGGCGTATTGGAGGTGGCAACACCACTAATGTGTCATTCTAAAAACTTATCAATCAACCTGGTATACGTAACGTGAACTATACATTTTCGCATGCATATCTCATTCACATACCGTCAAGAATCAAACCCCAGATCGATATACACGCACACATTTAATAGATCACGTATTCTCTCACCAGCTCACACATATTCATTGCCGCCATTTTTCGGGCCAATAGCTAGTCTCTGTTTGAGGGATTCTAGTAACACTCTTGCCACCCCGCCATCTAACGGAGAACATAGTCAACGGACATTTCTGTGTTGAGGAGACGACGTTTCTTACGCGTAAATTCACGATTTCAGACTTTGAGCTAAGATAGCTCAGCTTCTGGAGCACGTAGAGAAAAAGTAAAGACAGTTTTATTAAGTAATGTAAACCCAAGGAATCGAAGTCCCTCTAAAACTTCGTCAATTCAGCCGTTATAACCGAAATGAAGAGTTAACCTACATTCAACTAAAACTGTCGCGTAATTAATTATTATTATACACGGTAGGCCGCGTTATTTCACACTTGGTTTCGCGATATTACTGTGTCGCTTGATAGAGGAAATTTTATTTTTAAAAAATAATTTTTTTTTTTTAATAACTTATTTGTAGTTTTAGTTAAGCTATAAATTCTTTTAAATACTTTTACATATATAAACACACATATATGCACGCAACTAAAATTATTAACAAATTATTATTTGACAGAACTTATTAACCTATTAACTTATTGATAGAACTTATTAACCTGTTTATTAACCTATTTGTTTTCTTTTACAGGTTCTAATGTGAAGAAACACTAATATTTTATAAAAATGACTGAGTGCATTGAACGCAAAAGTATATTGACAAATAGATTTTTTAAGTCCACTTCGAATCTACATTTGCCACCAAGCTCACCTATAAACAATGATATATTTTTTGATGAAATTGACAGCATTGATTATCATTTTGAAGATGCACGCTTAGAAAGTTACAAAAACTGGCTATATCCATTTATAAGACCAGACAAACTCGCGGCAGCAGGATTTTATTATACAGGAGAGAGCGACAAAGTGAGATGTTTTGAGTGTCATGTGGAAATAAGCCAATGGCTGCCAGATGATGACCCGATGGTCGATCATCAACGATGGTCTGGAAAATGTAGGTTTATTCGTAATATTCCGTGCGGCAATATACCTAAGGGTGTAGATCCTAGCACGATTTCACCATCTGTGCCTAGAGGAAGAGATGTGTGTGGACCTTATGGTATAGAATACTGTCCTAATTCTACTTTGGACAATAACATGCACATGCAAGACACAGTGACGCTTAATTTAGGAGGGCGTACAGACTCAATGAATCCAAAACATCCTCAGTTTGCTAATTACGATGATAGATTACGTACATTTGAAATGTGGCCTATATCAATGCCACAAACCAAGGAACAATTGGCGGCCGCTGGTTTTTATTACACAGGGAATGGTGATCAAACACTATGCTACTATTGTGGAGGAGGATTAAAAGATTGGGAACCAGAAGATGATCCTTGGGAACAACATGCCAAATGGTTTTCTAAATGTTGTTACTTACTTATGGTCCAAGGACAGGAATATGTAAACAAAGTTACTGGAAAGTCCAACAACAAACAAGTAATTATTTAATAAGATATAATCTTTTATTTTTAAAACATATATATATTTTTTTTTTACATGCATTTGTACTTCAAAAAGAATAAGATAATCCCTAAATGTGAATAATATATTAATTCTAAAATACTTGCCTTTTTAGGAAACTTATAAACAGTCTGTAACAGAGGAAGATGAAAAAGTTGATGATGAGTGTTATCCCGGACCAAGTTCTCAAAATTCAGTAGGCTCTCAAGATAGTGGCTTTGAGAGTATAGAATTCTGTGCTGAATCAAGCGAGTTCAATAGTGATCAATTATCTACTGTAAAATTCTCAAATAATTTGCACGGCAAACCAATCGATGATGCGAGAATGTGTAAAATCTGTTATAATAGAGAATTAAGGAAGGTATTTGTACCATGTGGACACTTGGTTGCTTGTGCCGAGTGTGCAAAGAACATGAAAACATGCGCAGTATGTCGTAAGCCTGTGGTAGATACTGTACAAGCTATCATCTCATAGTCACTGTATCATAGCATTTTGAGTTTCATCATTGAACATCGGTAGCAAAAATTACTTTTGCAAACAAGACTATATGACATGACTCATGTAGCATACCATTCTGCAGGTACAAACTATATAAATAAATGGGCCAGTTGCAACCAGATGCAGATAACCAGTATATGATAGCTATAACAGTTAAAGATTTTTCAAAAATAAATAAAAAATTAACGTTTTGGTTCTTACTTTGGACCTTTTTTAACATTTACAATAAAAACAGTATTTGCTCCAAATATACAGGATGTCTGATAATTATACACCAACTCCATAGGGGCGTACAGCTAAGCGAGAGGATAAAAAAAGTCCTCTTCCATTTAGCGATAACGCGTCTAGTTTGTTAGTAACAACCGCGTAAAGTTTGGCGTTTGTCATATTCATCGCGGCCTATAGACGCTCCGCGGCGAACTGTGTGCGTCGATGCTAAGCGGTAACGCGGCTCGCGCTGACCGCCGCGATGGCGTCTTGACGCTTTGACGCTGTCAGCGCGCGGCAAGGCGGCTATGGAGTTGGTGTGTTACAATTATCAGACACCCTGTATAATTGAAATCAACCGAGTGTATAAGAAAATAAATAATACCTTACAATAAATAACCTTATAAATATTTACCTTATAAATATTTCCTCGTTTCCGACTGTGCAATGTATAGTCATGACAAGAAAACAGAATTTGACAGAATCTCAAATTAAAGAAAAGGAATAAAAAATTAAGGAAAAGAGAAAAACTTAAAACCACGAATTACGGAAATAACACTAGTAAATTTGAAGAACATTATATATTTATTTCACAATCTATTATTTCACAATTGGTAATTAGTAGCACAAAGTTTTTTCCATCATATATATTATTAAGTTATATTTATATATATCCAGTTATATTTATATTAATTAAATTAAGTTTTTTTTACATGCTGTAATTGAAATATATCTATTATTTTTATTTCAATCGTAAATTCAATCTAAATTTTGTTATACTATTTGACACTTGAATTGTAATAGAGTTGCTTAAAATCAAATTGCGAAATTGACAATTTAAATGGGAAACAGGAATAACACTAGAAATCGATTTGGCCTACTAATATTAATTTATACTGAATGTAGTTGCATAAACTGTTACATACTATCATTTACTTCAAACTTTAGGAACAAGTATAACTAGCCCATTTATTTGTTTCTGATTTATGATCTAAAAAAAGTTGTTTTTCTTTTTTTGTTATCAATTGTGTAAAATTAATATTGTTAATAAAAATGTAAACTTTACAATTATTACAAGATTTCTATGGCACTAATACAATAAATGCACTTTATAGTAGTTATGAAAGTAATATATATATATATTTCAACGTGTGAATGTGTAAATACATAATCAATAAAATATTTGTGAATGTTCATGTGAATTTATATTTTAATAACATAAAAAAAAGTTAAGTGTACTCACAAAATGTTCTCATACAGATATAGAAATTTTAAATATTTCTTGTTTTTTATTCTTGCAACACATAATTGGTTAACAAATTCCACTATTTAATTCTATTATTTATTTTTATTTTTCCTATTCCTTTGTGTAAGCAGTATCTCTTACTGCTATAAAATCTATGAAACAAAAGACTAAATGCGTTTTACGATTGTGTGTGTAGATGTAAAAACATATTTTTTTCGTACCTTTCTGTTTTCTATAAAAAAAATATATTTGCACACACCCTCAACCTAATAAATAGTGTTATAAACATTGTTAATTTTTGTAAAAAAAAACACATGTAACATATCACAAATAAATTTCTATATTTTAATGTGTCAGGAAAAAAGGTATATATATATATATATATATATATATATATATATATATATATATATATGTATGTATGTATGTATTTATATGTATATATGTATATATATAGATTGTACCTGCAATAGGACGTTGCTATTTGAATGTTTTTAATTTCACATTGTTTCCGATGCAATACTTGCTGAAGAAACAAAGTGATTGCAAATAAAGGCACAGCTATGCCTTTGTGTGATAGTACAAATAGCAACATAACATGATGTCTAGTCATTAGTATTATATTATGATGAACAATAACAATCAATACAAATATATCCTATAACAATCTATGGAAAATATTTAGTTTATATCTTTTATATTTTCTCTCTCTCTCTCTCTTTTACACACACACGCACACACATATATACATACACAGAGCCATGTAAGTAAAAAGTATAGTTTATTTTTTTAATCAGTTCTTTTCTCTCTCCTTCCATCAGTCTTTTCTCAATTTCTCAATTACTGTTCATCGTAATTTGTACAATATCTTATTTTAGTTTCTACAGATGTATTAAAACAATTTATAAATCATTTTATATAATTGTAAAATATATACTTTACTTTTTTGTTATATTAAGTTAACTTAAGCGGTTCAGGGTAACGAATAAAATCCAACATTAAATAAAGTTTAGTGTAAATTTCATCTTAAACGTTTCTGATTCTTATAGTCAAATCGGATTATAACATAAAGAACGAGAAATCTCAATTTCTCATGTTATAATTATGTGACTAATAACACTAAGAATTATTAAAGAAATATGATATGACGATTATATCTTGTATTCTTAGATAATATGATTATAAGAAACAAACTTTTTTAGTACGTCCTATGACACATAAATAGTAGATAATTTAATAGAATATTTATAATAAATATATATTATCTCTTTCTATACATAAAATTGCTATTGTGTGAATGTGTAATTTCAGACCAGGTAATTTTATATAATAAGAGATTTATATCAGTAATTAATTTTATAAGTTTGAAAGTTATGACAATATTTTAATCATTTTATATATAGCAATTTCACTTATTTATATATTTAAAATTATTGGGTAAACCATTGTGTGTCGCCAATATTTTATTGAAATAACTTAATATTTAATAAATATGTTTAATTTATCTACAAATATCTTTTGTATACATCAGAGGATACTTAATAACACAAATTGAAATTATCAAAATAATCTTTCCTGAATTGTACTTCTTTAATTCGTGGAAAAATACTATAAGAATGATTTAGGAAGTTACATGCACCATGATTGGAGTTCCTCAGAACTCTTTTTAGAATATTCATATAGAGTTATACTATACCCAGTGAGCATCGTTGAGAGCATGAGCTCTTTAAGTGCTCTTTTTGAAAAGTTTAAAAGGTAACACCTATGTAACCGGCCGAAAATTAGATCTATATTTGGGAATTTTTTTTTATTTACTGAATCGTGCTATTAAAAAATGAGTTTGATAACTTTATTAGACATGTCAAAAAGTATAAAAAATAATTTTTTCATAATTAGATTTGACAAAATGGTGGATCTGCAGCAGCGTGAAAGAGACAGTCGATTTGGCAAGGTGGTCCGCGGCTAGTAGCATAAGTGCCGTAATTTTTGGTCTAAAACAAAAAACAAATTTCTTTTTATTTTTTTTACTCCAATACCTAGAGAAATACGTAGCCGTTTTGAAAATATTAATTTTTGACAAAATGGCGGAGTTTAAAAGAAAAAATACCATTTTTTCTATGAAAAAAATCGAGTAAAATCAGCTGTAACTTAAAATATTTGTAACTTATCAAAAAAATCCTACGTATTTCTTTAGAAAATTTAATTTTTTAAATACTGTTAAAATTTGAAGTAAATTGATTAAAAATTGTTTAAGTTCTATTGCTAGCCAACTTTAAAAATACTGTTTTGAGAAAAATGCGTTTAAAGTTTCGAATGTTAATATTTTTAAGTTAACAATTGAAATTTTTTACTTTACCTTTAATCTACTTTTAATTTACCTTTAATCTGCGATCCCAGGACCCCCCGGGGGTCTATAGAAGGGCTATTTCATAGACCAGGACCATAAAATAACCTTTCAGCAGCAAAATTTTCATCTTTATCTTTTCTCGCAGCTTTTAAGCTCGAGCAAGCTTCTTTCGCCGCATCACTAAGTGAGCGATCAGAGAGCTTGATACGATGTTCATCGGTCTCGACACAAAAATTATAGTAGTTAGGGCTTACAATAATGTCTAGAACTTTTATTATGTGCATAACACTGCATATTCCATCATTGAACTGGCATACGGCAATGTCAGAATGCACGTGCGATCGGCGTCTTTTCAACTATATTGAGTTATACTAATACATTTGAAAGTAATAGAGTATTCACGCCATCTATGTACTAATTAGAAAGCTTAGAATCATCACAGATAACTGCAGATACAAATATTTGTACTCTATGAATCCTAGACGTTTCAGAGTACCGTGCGCTCACTCGGTCTGGGTTAGCGCGGAAGCCTATAACTTTGGAAAAAAATTTTTTATCACTATAAAACCACTTGCACTTCATTTTTAAGATCCTAAAGTGTATTTAAAAAAAAAGAAACCTATTTGCGTTCGAGACCTGCGTATCTTTTTCGTTCCAGAAAGAGAAAAACATCGAGAGTGCGGTCCTGCTAGGCCGGGACTCGAACTCAGGTCTTTCGCTTACCGGGCGACTGCTCTAAACCACTGAGCTACCTGACGCTCCACGCTCACGACACTTTCCCCTTCCTAGATAACGCTCAGAGATGCCGTTCGGAAGCGACATCTCTGGCGCGATCCCTAGCGCACGGCGACTATAGAGAGAAACAATGTTACTGTACCAAATGGTACAGCTGTCAGTCTCTCAAAGTCAAAGGTTACCCCTTAATCTCTAGAATTCTAAGAAATGATATCAATAAGTTACCTTTTTTCAAGAAATCTATGATATCATATACAAAAACTCTATAAAATGTCATGGAAAAGAGCTCAAAATGTTATTCCAAAAAAGAAATCTATAAGAAACCATGAAAAAGAACTCAAATTGTTATGTCCTAAATGTTCTAACATAGGGCGAGTGTGTAATATATGTTTACATTGCGGCAGAACATTATCTTATAACTTCTAAAAATATTCTTGCGTATTATTTTTCGTTTTAAAAGAAAAAACTCTGCAATAAAAACAGTAAATAGATTTGTATATAATACTTAAGTTATCTTTGTTTAACTAAACAAAATGTTATGTAAAGATTTTTAAAAATTATCTTCAAGTTAAAAAAAATGAAGAAGAAATCATTAAATGGATGTGTGATTAAAACTATTACATTATTTTTCATAAAATAGTTTGTTGAAAAAGCCGCTGTTACATATAGTTTCCAACAGCATACAATATTTATAATAAAGATTCATAAATATTTATGTCGAATTATTTTTTTTTAAATATTACATAAATATTTTATAAATATTTCTATAAAGAAAAAAGTATCAAAATCTTTATTCAAAATATTATTGAAATATAGGCTAAATATTTTATACAATATTTATAGTAAACAAAAAATAAATATTTCAAGTAACATTTTGTAAATATTTCTATAAATACTATACATAAAAAAACAAATGTAATTATTTATAATTATTAATTTAATGAAGAAATAAGAAAATTTAAATTGGTAATGTATACTGAAAAAAATTCTTTAAATCAAAGAAATATATTTTGTCAAATATAATTTTTTAACTTAAAAAAATATTTGTTAGATCATATTTGGTTTCCGGGTTTGAGCTGCGTGGATTCATCTTTGTTTGATTCCGATGTTTCACGAACATTTCAGTCCGCTTCATCAGGGAGGAACGACTCGATGAAGCGGACTGAAATGTTCGCGAAACATCGGAATCAAACAAAGATGAATCCACGCGACTCAAACTCGGAAACCAAATCTAATATGCATGGACACCGAAAGCCTAAAATCAAATATTTGTTAGATTTTAGAAAATATGTAATAAATATAAAGTAATATTTCTTTAAATTTGTAAAATGAGCTGTAAAATTATAAATTTCTAGAAAAAGAATGATTTCCTTACAAGAAGAAAATTATAGTTTTTATGTAAAAACTGCGTTTAAATAAATATTTGCTTGTTTTAAAAGTAAATAAAGTACAAGTAAATTATTTTATAAATCTAAATAAATTACTTCCTAATATCAAAAGTATATTTTTTGTGTTTCAAATTAAAGTTTCTTTTATTATCAGAAAAAAATTTATTTAAATTTACAAAATGATTTATTTATATTTTATTTTTTACTTTTAAATTTTTTAATTTTAAATTTATATTTTACTTTTAAAACCAGTAAATATTTTTTAAATATACTTTTTACATACTTTTTAAACATACATTTTAAAAGATACATTAAAAAAATCTATTCCCTTTAAATAAATCATTTGTTTTCATACATGGATATACCATACGTATACAATCAGGATTGAGTAAGTTATTTTTTAAAAGTAACTAGTTATAATTACAGTTCCCTTTGCTGAAAATGTAATTAGTTACAGTTAGAAGTTATTGGCTATGAAAAGTAACTTATTATTCAAAAAAAGTTATTCAAAAAGTAACGAGTCGTTACTTTTAAGTTACTTTCTTGAAATGATTGTAAAATATTATTGTAAATATAAAAATCTTACATTTTAAGCTTTAAACTAAATTCTGAAGAATTCTTTTTGCATCTGAAAATGAACTCAGAATTGATGACATACGACTGGATTCTTTTTTAATTTATTTTGAATTTTTTGCTATTTGGGTTATTAAATTAATATACGATTACTATATAATTTTTATTTTATTTTATGTTCCCCAAGTAACTATTAAAGTAACTGTTAAAAAAGTTACAAAAAGTTACAAGTTACTAAAAATAAGTAACTAAGTTAAGTTACAGTTACAGGTGGGAAAAAGTAACTAAGTTAAATTACAGTTACCGAAAAAATGTAACTGTAACTGTAACTTCGTTACAAGTAACGAGTTACTTCCCAACCCTATATACAATACAAAGTGTTTCTCAGTCAAAGTGACAGTGGCGCAGTAGGTAAGGTGAACGACTCAAGAACCAGAGGTTTCAGGTTCGAATCTCGGCAATGGTAAGCAAATTTTCCAAGTAAAATTTAATTTGAATTAAGTAGCGTGTGAAACAATATAAAGTGAAAACTAAGAACATATATATTTTAAAAATTTAAGGAAAGTTCAGAAAAGAGAAAAACGTATATAAATATATATATTTTAATAAATATTTTTATAATATTTATGATAAATATTTCT